CCTCTAAATAGAGTACTGTGTCCAGGCCGAAGGCCTGCGGCACGATTATAAAATACAGCGACTTWATTGTTTTATTTTCTTTTCCACGTCGCAGTTTAGCAATCCCAAGGAACAAATAATCCAGAGTTCCAAGGTTCGATCCTCAACTCGAGCACGTCTGAAAATTTTTTTATTTTTTCTTTCTTTTTTTTCAACTGAAATATAGGTGTTCTAGTCATGTTAGATTTTTATAGTAGCATTTTTTTATTAATATTTGCGAGCCACCTTTGTTAAATTTAAGAAACAAGTTGATACTCGAACACAGACGTCGAACAAAGGATCGCGGGTTCGAATCTCGTCTCGAGCACTTTTTTTTCTTTCTTTCTTTTTAAATATAATATAGTTGTTATAGTCATCTTGATTTTCTGTAGATTTTGTTTAATAATTATTTTCGAGCGTTTATAAAGATTTTGCAAACTACCTTTTAAAGTACACAGTATATATCACGTGCGCGACGATTTTACAACTTGTTGTTAGTGAGGATCTTGTTCGCCAAGAGTATGGTAATCATATCTATTCTCTACACAGTGACAAACCATTTTTTTCAACCTAAGAATTTCCTTGTACTACTTCGTAAGAAAGTTTGGATTTTTGTTTAGTGGCCCAACATTTGCCTGAATTTGCTCAGGTCTTTCACAAAACCAACTGAGGTAATTTAGGTAGTATCGTCGTGTAGCGGGTAACCAAGTACGTCATATGTTTCCGAACACACGAGTGGGACTTAGAAATATTTTGAGGTTTTTGGTTATCCTCACTTAGAAAAAAAAATTGATCCCGCAGATAAGATTCGAACCTGCAAACACTATAGATGCGACATTGGCGCTCTAAGAGCGTCTACTTATAAATATTACCGGTCACAATTTCTTGAAATAACTAAATTGAATGAGATCTAAAATACATACCCACTTACATACCTTGCAAGGATAGTAAGGGGAATTGAAAAGTTTCCCAGAATAGCTTGCAAATACGGTGCAGTTCTGCTCGGCGGGCTTGCAAACACCACAAGTGCTCCGTTCAAAGCATCGCACAATCCAATCGCAAAGAGAAGTTTATGTGGGAAGCGACGCTCTGCTGGTCCAAAGAAATGAGGATAGAAGTACACAAGAATAGCGTACATCAATCCAAATATAACAACAAAGGAAAGACTTGCAAATGACAAGACAAAATAGGCATCCATTTTAGCGGCGTAATTTGGTGATGGTGAGGTTGTGTTTGCATTTATTAGGCCTTTGTGTTTGGACTGCGAGGCTGACAGCCAAAGAGGAAGGCTGACAGTTTGACCAACTATTCCTGCAATTGCGATGAAGGCAAAGCATAGGTTCGCTTGAAACAAAGACAACCGGAAAAAGTACAAGTTGAAGTATTTTTGTTCTTTCTTGTGCCGAATTTCGCTGCTCAGATGATTTTCACTTCTCTGAATATTCTCCATATTGAAGCTAAAAGTGCCCTTTGATCGTGATCAATAATGCTATACAAATGTAATTGGACTGATATTGATAGTGCGTCATGTTCAGTCATATGATTAGGATGATGAGAGAACGAACAGATASCACTGGACTTTGGCCTTTGCTGGATAATACTCACTCTTACCTGTCTACCGAGCTATAGGCAGTCACATCGCTATATCAATTTCGGCATTAATTTTCTCGAGCTACAGAGAGCTTTTCACTTAAAAACATTTAGTGCCCGCATCCAAATATWCAGTGGATGTAGAATTTATACTTAGGAAAGCGAAAAATTCAAAAGAAACAAAAACCTATATTTCGTCACGCAACTCAATTAATGACATAGTGTGACCAAGGAAGAACTAAAGATTGATGAAGGCTTTTTTATTCTATTATAATTCTTTTCAATATTTTTGTAGGGGGTTATTTAATATCATATATTTATCATAGCAACTCTCTTGCTTGACAATGATAGAACAAAATATATGAACATCTAATTAGAATTAAGAGAAAAATGGGTATCGTGTCTTATTGCAAGCTTGAAAATTCGTTACTCTTTGGTTGCTTTTTTTAACCGTTCCGGTAAGACTTAGCTTTACTTGAGCCTATTATTGTCAATGTAATGACGCATAAAAAATATAATCATGTTGCTGGGAAAAAAACAAATCTGCGTTTTGAGAAATGCTCTTCCACTCATGTACAGACTCATTAGATTACACTTCACAACAATAAACGAAATCAAGATGTGTTTGAGATTTTTTGATACACTATTAACAGTTGAGTTATATTTTTGTGCTGAAAACGGATCAAATCTGAAAGTCGTACTTTGAACTATCTTGTATCAGTCACGACTCAAGAGACTTCAAGTTAACCATGAGAAGGTTGTTTACAGTGATTTCATTATCGGATGATCGAAAAGACGGCCTTTGCCCTACCCTGTCTGGTGCCCCTTGTTTTAGAAAACATTAATATTTTTTGCTCAGGGTTATATTAACGTGTTTTAAAAAGCTTTGTTTTGCGCTCATCTGCTGCTTATTATCTATTAATCTTATTATCTAACATTTGAATTAATTACTGTGTCCAGGCCGAAGGCCTGCGGCACGATTATAAAATACAGCGACTT